TTTCTCATTGTTAGGTTTTGAGTGAATATACAAAATAAAATGTATTTGTTATATACAGTACTTGTTTCTACTTTTAATTTTTATAGTATGGTATAAAATAAATAGCCATTGGAAGGGAAACAATTTGCTGGACAAAAATTTGCTGGTATTGGAGGATATGTGTCCTCTGTCCCATATGGATCAATATCCATGGCACAAATTCATTTAGTGAAATCATTTGACAAACTTATGTGGCTGTATGTCGTATTAGTGTATATATTAATTTAGGTATAGTTTTAGTCCTCTCTTTTGTTCTTTGTTTCTTCTTCCTTCAAGAACTTTCCTTTCTAACTCTTTTCTCTTGGATGGGGTGACCGATTCTTGGAACCACAGAGAACAATCAAAGAAAAGAGGCCCTGAGGGCCAGTGAGAGTGAGGAAGAACATTCTTTAGCCCAGACCTCGAGGTGGACAGACGTCGAATGTGGTGCTCCAGGTTGCAAAAAGGAAATGACTGGAGAATTCCAGAGAGTTTGAGAAGAGAATTGGATGTTTATCATAGTTACAATAAGAAAAGGTGTGGTAATTAGGGGTAAGGAGAAACCTAGTGCAGACGACAACAACAGACTTTTCAGGAAAAGGTTCAATGTGGTATCCCACCCAAAATTGTGAAGTCCAGCAAAACCCAGGGTATTTCACTCCTTACTGTATTCTATTTTTTCTACATTCTCTATTCCCTATCATCTTCTTTCTTTCTCTAGTTTTAAGTTAGCACATAGGTATTAGTCATAGTTTTCGGTCACTATTTATACTTGTCACAAACAATACATTTTGTAATTGTCTGCTGAAATATTGTTCAATGGAGTATTGTAATAAATTACTGTGGAGTTGGAATCCAAAAGAACCTGTTTGTATACATGAAATAAAATACTTTGTTTGACTATACTGTCACTTAGTTATTGATACATCTTTCATTTGTCGATCTACATACATTTCGCATCAACATCACACTTATACAATGTGACATCCTCAAAATACATGCATTGCTATATTAATAATTGAAGATTAAGCATGCAAGAATCAATTTGCACAATAAATGTTTAGTCTTTGCATATAGGACCTACAGATAGCTTTTGGATGACAGATAACATGTTATTTTCAAAAAATGTAACTGAAAATGTATTAAGCAAACTCCATATAGCATCCATCAATAGCCTTTTCAAGAACAATGTCATGCCAAAAAAATAGCCTATAACACAAAAATTGTCCCTAATTAAAACATGTTAAAACAAATACTTTCAGTGAAAGCATGTTAACAGATTACCTGAATATATTCATATATTAATATTTTGTAATGTATATTCTTTTAAACAATTATCACCTAAAAAAAAAAGTCTAAAACACTCCTTAAAGTATAAAAATACATATTAAGTTCAAGTTTTTAAAATTAAATTTTTAGGTTTTAAGAAAAACAAATATGTGACAATTAAACTTTTTGAATCAAAAGTTTTATTCTGGCTACAGGACTGTTTATATAAAATTGGGATCTACAGGGGCATGCTAAAAATTCTGACTGGTATTTTTTACTTTTCCAGCCAGCACTAAACCTATTAACTATGATCCAAGTGTAAGATGATGAAGTGTATGATCCTGTCTATATGATGAAAGCAAAAGCATATACAGTCAAACCTTGGTTTACAAACTTAATTCATTTCTAAAAGTTGTTCAGAAACCAATTTCTTCTCAAACCAAAATAAATTCTCCCATAAGAAACAATGTAAAATGGATTAATCTGTTCCCAACCCACAAAACAAAATATTTTTTTAACTTTTTAGCTGTATTTCATGCATAAAAATGCCTACAAATGCAATATGCTATTATATATAAAAAATATTATATTATATATATATCTATATTTATTCTATATCAATATATTATTAAAAGCAAAATGTTCTATCACCACCAACTGAAACTAAAACATAACTTTATAAAAAGTTGCTATAGAGACTCAACTCTGATTGCCTGCATGAAATATATCCAAATCAAACAAAACCAACAAGCACTTTATCTGCACGTTCCAAAATATTATTTTTTAATTGATTTGATTTTATTTTTAATTTTAGTTTCAGTTTCAGTTTAAAAACCAGTTTTAATTATTATTTTATTATTTTTTAGTTTAAATTTACTGGCTACCTAGTATTAATAAATATCATAATATATAATATTATATTAATAAATTTTTGTTATTTAAGTTAAGCATCTTTAAACACAGATTTGTGGATGTCATTTATATAATGCAAATGTCAATTAACATGGTTTTTATTAATTAATTTGATTTAAATTCAATTGCAATGCATACCAATAAATAGAAGTACTGTAGTATCTTATCCACATGCACATTGAAATCAAATTTAAATAACAATGTCATCAATGGTTTGTGTTGTGACGTCTAATGACACAAGGCAAATCTTGGTGCCACTACTGAAACAGTAGTCTTGTTGATTGGTGAGCCATCAACTTTCTTTAACACAGGAAATATAGGAAGTTGACCATCAGTGGCTGGGTTTGCTGAGTAGCTTGTTTGGAAACTGAGTTATCATATGGCAACCAGAGCAAATATGGCATTTAAACTTTTTTTCATAAACTGAATTGTTCATAACCAGAGGTTTCACTGTATTACATATACTGCATATGAGCATTGCCTAAGCTGAACAGACTTAGCCATCTCATAGCCCTCCTATAGCTATGGCTTTGTAAATACTATTAAGTAAATTAAATAGACTATACAACTATATTAAAAAAATTATTATTAAATAGTTTCTGTATTGAAAAAACTAATAATTATTAAATAAACTAATCCTAAGACCAGAGCCATAACTAGACAGGTGCAACAGGTGCAGCCACACAGGGCCCACTTGGAAGAGGGGCCCAAACTGCTGTTCACAAAAAATTATATTTTTGAATTTTAAATTTTTCCACCTTTCTACAGCGCAGTTTGGTGATTACATTTCGCCTTACTTAGATTCTAGATGTCTGCTCACCAGTGTTCCCAACTGTAGCGACTTTTAGAGGGATGTAGTGAGGTAGCAGACTGGAGACCTCAGACAAATCAGCCAAAAGTAGCGACTTTTGAGATTTTTTAATTTATTGTTTGAGAAATATAAATTTATGTTTATAGTTTTCAAATTTACAGATTTTTCTCTATTTTATAGAGCTCTCTGGCAACTACTAATATTATTACGATATACAAAACTGTATTTCTAGATTTTTCTACAGTGTGCAGAGCTAGAAATCTGTAAAGGTAACATTTTGTAACAAAAATAAATCTGTTTGAGGATTTTTTTAAAATTACTAAATTGAAAACAGTAACTCCCGAATAAAATCTTAGTCTCGAGGTTGTAAAAGGCGTGCAGAAATTCTGACATCA